CTGGTTCCATTCACCATGAGCCTCTATGTTTCTTGTTTCCCTCCTGGCTCTTCCTCCTCTTCCTCCCCAGTGTGGGACCGCTGTCTGTCTCTGCCCTTTCTATTTTACTTTTTCTTCTTTCCTGTACCGTTTTCATTATTCTCAGGTGGGATCTGAATAGTGAGTTGAAGGGGTTTCGTGTGTCAAGCCTCAAGAGCCACAGGCTTTATAGGAACCACTTATTGCTTGCTTCTTGGGACTGACATACAGAAGTGTTATGGGACTCTTATTATGTATGTGCGTGTGACATGTAGGAGTGTGGACCTGGAGATGTCATGTCATTTGTGGAGGTCAGGACAACCTTTGGGAGTCAGTTCCTTTCCATCATGGGTTATGAGGATTAAACTTAGACCATCAAACAGCAAACATCCCCACCCACTGAGCCATATCACTAGCCTAAGGAAAATTACTTTTCTTAATTAAAAAATTTGTTTTAGCTGAGTGATGGTGGCATACACCTTTAATCCCAGCACTCGGTAGGCAGAGGCAGGTGGATATCTCTGTGAGTTTCGAAGCCAGCCTGGTCCACAGACCAAGTTCCAGGACAGCCAGGCTACACAGTGAAACCCTGTCTTGGGGAAAAAAAATGATGATGAAGATTTGGACACATTGTAACTGATACTCATGGTGATTTTCTGAATAAAATGAAGAGCTCTTTGATTGCAACTTTTTGATGTCTTCTGTCTAGGGGAAATATTACATTGCTGCAAGAGCTCTGTTTCTGACAGGAAAAGATTTTCTCCCGAGGCTGTAAACTTCTTGATTGCATGCTGCATTTCCCTAATACAGGTGTTAATGACCAGCAACAGATTGTTTTTGTAAAATAAAAACATAAATTTGGGCCTGCAAGATGGCTCAGTAGGTAAAAAGAGCTAGATATATTACTTTCCTACTGTTGTGATAAAACACCTTGACCCAGGCAACTTAAGAACAGTTTCTTTTGGGTTTATAGTTTTAGAGGGTCAGGGTCTATAATGGAGGCAGATTTGGCATCTAGAGATGGAAGCTGAAAGCTCACATGTGAAATGTAATCAGGAAGCAGAGAGAGTTAACTGGGAATGGTATGCGGCTTTTGAAAATTTGAAGCTTGCTCCCAGTGACACACTTCCTCTGGAAAGGCCCCTGTGGTGCTGGTAATTGGCCCTAATAAGCTCATAGGAAGTGGCACTATTAGGAAGTGTGGCTTTGTTGGAGTAGATATGGTCTTGTTGGAGGAAGTGTGTCATTGTGAGTGTGGGCTTTGAGGTCTCATATATGCTCAAGCCACATGTAGTATTTCAGACCACTTCCTCTTGCCTTCGGGATCAAGATGAAGCTCCTTCTCCACTCTCAGCTCCTTCTCCAGCACCATGTCTGTCTGCACATTGCCATGTCCCACCATGATGATAATTGACTAAACCTCTGAACTGTAAGTCACTCCAATTAAATGTTTTCTTTCATAAGAGTTGCTGTGGTCATGGTGTCTCCTCACAGCAATAGAAACCCCAAGACAGGCACACCTCCTAAGCCTCCCCTCAAAGTATCACCAACTGGAACTAAATATTCAAATGCCTGAGACTTATGGGGGCGCATCTCATTCAAAACACCACATTGTGCATCTCTGATGACCTGAGTTCAAATCCCCTGATGCCACAGTGGAAAGAGAGAACCAGAAACTTGTCTTTTGACCTCAATGTATGCACCTATCCATGTAGTAGTAGTAGTAGTAGTAGTAATAATAATAATGATGTATTTATTAAGCTGGGCATGGTGGCACATACCATTAGTCCAGCACTCGGGAGGCAGAGGCAGGTGGATCTATGTGAGTTCCAGGACAGCCAGGGCTACACAGAGAAACCCTGTCTCAAAAAACAAAACAATCAAAACAAAATATTTATTAAAACCTCATAAACCCAATTCTGTTTTCAGGGAATGGGAGGCAGAGGTGCTGGAACCATTCTGGAGCAGCCAGGCTGGTGTGGTGAGAGGCTGCTGATGCCTGACCATAATAACCACAGTGCTGAGCCTGGCTACCTTTGGAATGTAGATTCTAATGTAGATATAGCTTATCTCCTATGATTTTACTCCTATAAACACTTCTGGATGTGATTGAAGCATAATTACTATCATAATAATTTCCTTTTTGGATTGTTCATTGCTGTCTTAGACACTGTCCTATTGCTGTGAAGATATACCATGACCAAGGCAACTATTATGAAAATGAATTTAATTGGGTGCTTGCTTGCAGTTTCAGAGGTTTAGTCCATTATCATCATGGTAGAGGGCATGGCGGCATGCAGGCAGGTACTGGAGCAGCAGCTGAGAGCTACATTCTAATCCATAGACAGAGAGAGGCACTGGGTCTGATGTGGATTTTTGAAACTTCAAAGCCCACACTCATTGACACACTTCCTCCAACAAGGTCACGCCAACTAATCCTTCTAATCCTTTCAAATAGTGCCACTCCCTGGTGACTAAGCATCAAATATATGAGCCTATGGGGTCATTCTCATTCAAACCACAATTGCTAATGTACTAAATAAAACTAATTTTTGGTAGTGCGATTGTGTTTCCTGTGGTCCTACTGGATGCACTTACTGGTTCTAGTGGCTTTCTTTCGTGTCCCCGTGAACTTTCTGCTTCTGTATCAACATCAAATGAAGGCATTCTTTTTTTTTCCCAAATTGGTTGTGGGTTTTTTGTTTGTTTGTTTGTTTTTGAGACAAGGTCTTGCTGTGTAGCCTTGGCTGGCCTCAAACTCTTGGCAATCCTTCTGCTTAGCTTCCAGAGGCTGGGGTTATAGGTATGTACCACCATATCCAGCTGAGTGGGTTTTGTTTGTTTGTTTTTTGTTTTTTTAACTGGGACCTCACTATGTTGACCAGGTTGGCCTGGGTGTCATTATTTATTTATTTAGCCTTTTTGTTTTTTTGAGTCAGGGATTCTCTGTGTAGCCCTGGCTGTCCTGGAACTCACTCTGTAGACCAGGCTAGCCTTGAACTCAGAGATCTGCCTGTCTCTGCCTCCTGAGTGCTGAGATTAAAGGCGTGCGCCACCACCACCTGGAGCAAGTTGGGCCCTCAAGATGGCTCAGCCGGTACAGTGCTGGCAACACAAGCCTGGTGACTGGAGTTTAATCTCTGGAACCTATGTAAATGTGAAAAGAAAAAGTTAACCTTACAAGGTTGTCCTCTGAGGACCACACATGTGCTGGGACATGTGCTCTTGAGTACTGGGATTACAGGACTGCCATGCCTGCTAAGCCTTTTATGTGGGTCCTGGGGACCCAAACTCTGGTCCTCAAGTTTGTGTAGAAAATGCTTTATCCCTTGAGCCACCTTCCCAGCACTAGTGCCAACTACAAGAGAGGCCACGGCAAAAGAATTATTTAAGCCCAGGTGTCAGAGAAAAGTAGGAAGACTCTTTAAATCCTAAAACCAGGGCTAGAGAGATGGCTTAGCAGATGACCTGAGTTCAGATCACAATACACAATACATTTGAGACTAGCCTGGGCTAAATGAAATCCTATCTTAAAAAACAAACAAACAAACAAAACAAAACAGAAACAAACAAACAAAAATCTTCTAAAATGAAGAATCCTGTATTGCTTTATACTCAAAAAGTTTGTAGTTCTGGTGTACAGTTCTAGATTTTGTCTTTTTTTTTTTTTTTTTTTTAGACAGTTTCTGTTTTGCCTTAGCTACCCCTGGAACTTGTTCTGTAGACCAGGTTAACCTTTAACTTAGAGATCTGCCTGTCCTTGTCTCCCGAGTACTGAGAATCAAAGGTATGTGCCACTATGCCTGACTTCCAGAAGATTTTCAAATAAATTATTTATGGATTTTCTTTTTCTTTAGTCAACAGGGGTCTTGCTATGTAGTCTAGACAGGCTTTCAACTCACAATCCTTCAGCATTAGCCTCCTGAGTTCTAGGATTACAGGTGAGTGCCATCACCCCTGCTAAATATTTCTCTATTACACTGTCCCATGAACACTTGCACAAACTACTTAGCTATAATGTAAAAAGCTACAACTGGGGAGTGTATTCAGGGCATTTCCATTTTCCTGTTGCTACAGTGGCAAAGCTGAATGGGAGCCACTGAGGCTCAATCACCCGTGCCTGAGAGCCTAGGTTTTAGCATGCATGTTTTCAGTGCACCACCTCACCCTGTGCTGTGTTGCCTTACAGCTTCATAAGACAACCTCCCAACACTCATTCACTCAGATACCCCATGTGCCCTGTGCTTGACTCTCTACTCCAAGTCTGGGAAGTGTAAGAAAGAACAGAAACAAACACTATTCTCTTTGAAATAGGTATGACAAACATCTGAAGCAGATCTCTGAAACAAACTTACTCTTTAGCTTTGAATTCACAGGTAAAGCTATTCCTCACTGAGGGGAAAATTCTTTTCACAAACACGTACTATAAAAAATCTGGGCCAAAGACTTGACTGCAGTGGTCATGAAACACAGTCATACACTTTATCCAGGAGAATAAAGTAAAAGAGTGTTATGTATGGCAGACCACATCCACTTCCCATCCCACTGGAAAACCCAGTCATCTCTACTTGCAGAGTCTCATGAACTCAGTGACTCCTCAGAGCTGATAAAAAACCCTGGCTTCCCAACAACCTATACTGGACAGGAAAAAATGTTTATCAGGCCATAGTGCACATGAAATGCAATACTAATAGGTGATTCATGCAGCTACAGAACTAGAGGGAAATTACAGCCTACATTGTTTTGAGCTTTTCATCATGGCAACTGAGATCTGCTGTTAAACATTCTGATCAGACAAATGGATGGATGGATGAGAAAGCAGCCCAGGAGTAAGTCCCAGCCTGAGTGCTATCTTCAAGAGAAACAAGAGGTGGCACCAGAAAGTCATGTTGTCATCTTTTGTAAGCTCTGATGTGATGTAAACTACCCAAGAATGTGTATACTTAGGGTTACAAAAAAACAAAACTATAAGACACAAAACATCCAGTTAAAAGTTATTTATTCAGGCCGGGCGGTGGTGGCGCACGCCTTTAATCCCAGCACTCGGGAGGCAGAGCCAGGTGGATCTCTGTGAGTTCGAGGCCAGCCTGGACTACCAAGTGAGTTCCAGGAAAGGCGCAAAGCTACACAGAGAAACCCTGTCTCGAAAAACCAAAAAAAAAAAAAAAAAAAAAAGTTATTTATTCAAAAATATTTTCTACTAATTCTTTTTTTCTTCCTTCCTTCCTTCCTTCCTTCCTTCCTTCCTTCCTTTCTTTCTTTCTTTTTCTTTTCTTTTCTCTCTCTCTCTCTCTCTTTTTTTTTCTTTTTGAGAGAGGGTTTCTCTGTGTAGTCCTGGCCATTCTGGAACTTGCTCTTTAGACCAGGCTGGCCTTGAACTCAGAGATCCACCTGCCTTGCCTCCTAAGAGCTGAGATTAAAGGTGTACACCCCCAGGCCTGGCTTTTTCTACTAATTCTGATTCTATATCAAATTAAGACAAGGAGTGGTATTACACAGAATAACTGCTCAGATCTCCTGTACAGAATGCAATCCCCTCATTAGCTCATTATCTACTGAGATTCAAGTCATTTACTTCACAAGAGTCATAATAGGTATACAGTACTCCATACCAAAATATTTTATAAAGCTTATATTCATATTTCAGTTAAAATTTAGCAAATATAAAATGATACTGGCTTTAAAGAATATCCAATGACTTAATTTCTTTTCTTACAAAGCTCAAGGACATAATAGCCTCAAGTTTCTTTACTGCCCACAAAGTAGTTAAGAACCACTTGAGGGCTAAGGGTGTAGTCAGTGGTAGAGTGCTGCTGGCCTAGCAGGAACAAGGTCCTGAATGCTGCCCCCAGCACCGAGAAGAGGACCTCCTGAGATTATAGTGGGTTTCCACTCTTCATTTTCAGTGGCTAATATAAGCTGGAGATGTAACAGCAGGCCAGAGATTTCTGGCCTTAACACACATTTCCGACAGGTTCTCAACTTCAAACTATTATCCAAAACAGAGGCATTAAAAAATGGCTTTTGAGCCGGGCGGTGGTGGCGCACGCCTTTAATCCCAGCACTCGGGAGGCAGAGCCAGGCGGATCTCTGTCAGTTCGAGGCCAGCCTGGGCTACCAAGTGAGTTCCAGGAAAGGCGCAAAGCTACACAGAGAAACCCTGTCTCGAAAAACCAAAAAAAAAAAAAAAAAAAAAATGGCTTTTGGAGGCCAGGTGTGGTGTCGAATACTTTAAATCCCAGCAATTAGGAAACTGAGGCCTATAGACCTGTGTGAGTTCTTGGCCAGGCAGGGCTACCTAGGGAGAACCTGTCTCAAAAAAGAAACAAAAGGCTTCTGGAAGCTTGTACATTCAAAGGAAACCCTTTAGTATTCTTACACCGGGAGAAGCAGTCTCTCTCTCATTCTATTTTCTCAAGAGCTTTGGGCTTTGAGAAAGTGTGCATGCCAGCTAGGCATGCAGCTGCTGAGCCAGCCCCAGCTCTGGTCCTCCTGATGGTTTAAGAAGTCAGTCTTTTCTCAACAGCTTCCTGGTAAGCAATAAACCGTCTCAAATTCATCTTCACGTTGTCAAGAACACACAGCTGATCTGGACTGTATTTGCCCCTCCCTTCTTTCCGTATCTGATAAGAGACAGAATGAGATTATGTCATCTGATTTGTTATCATTTAAATAAAGTAACTATTTTATAAACAAATATAAAGTTTTACTTCCAGATTAAATAGAATGTGGTATGTGAAAATGAGAAAAATGAAAATATGTCCATTTTTTTCTTTTTCCATTTTCACTGAGGCAGGACCCCTCAATCGAACCCAGAGCATGCTGGTTTGGCTAGTCTCACTAGTCAGCTTGCTCTTGGGATCATCTATCTCTACTTTGTCAGGCTGGAATTCCACCCAGCATTTTGGTGGGTAAATGCTGACCTAGTTTTCACAGTTGCATGGTAAGAACTCTAACCACTAAACTATCTCCCCAATCTGAATACACACATTAAAATAACAGCTACAAGCCAATTGCATGTCTTTGATCCCAATACTCTGGAGGCAGGGGCAGAGGGATCTTTGTGAGTTTGAGGCCAGCCTAGTCTACATGGTGAGTTCCAGGACAGTCAAAGTTACACAGAGATCCTGTCTCAACAAAACAAACAAAACACCAAAAAGGAAAAAAAGTTAAAGAAATGAAATCCATAGATAAAAAGACTGAAATTTATGGAATGCAAATCATAACTCACCCCTAGTCTTTTGTTTTGTTTTTGTTTTTTTGGGGACAGGGTTTCTCTGTGTAGCTTTGGACCTTTCCTGGATCTCGCTCTATAGACCAGGCTGGCCTCGAACTCACAAAGATCCACCTGCCTCTGCCTCCCGAGTGCTGGGATTAAAGGCGTGCGACCTCTAGTCTTTTTAAACAATATTTTTATTGAAAATTTTTATTTGTATGGACATTTTGCTTGCATGTTTGTTATGTGTACCACCTGAGTGCCTGGTACCCAGGGAGCTCAGAATAGGACAAGAGGAGACAATCCTGAAACTGGAGTTAAGATGGTTATGAGCCATCATGTGGATCCTAGGAATCAAAGCTGGGTCCCTACAAAAGCAACAAGTGCTCTAAATCAACGAGCCATCTCTCCAGCCCCTTTATTTTATGTGCATGGACATTTTACGGACATGCATGTCCATGCATCAAATGCCTGCAGTGCCTACAAAGACCAGAAGAGGGTGTCAGATCCCCTGGGACTGGAATTACAGCTAAGTGGCTATGTGGGTGCTGAGAATTGAACCCAACTCCTCTGGAAGAGAAACAGTGACTCCAGCCCTTATCTGTAGTCTTAAGTGCTAGTTTTCAAGTTTTAGTACACCACCTAGATGATTTCCTACCGAATGGGCTGGTGGGGCCCCTACTGGTGCCCTTATTAACTTTCTTATTCAGAGGCCAGGAGCTGGGGGCTAAGAATTCACATTTGGAACAAGACAACAGGTGATGCTGTGAGTACTGGGAGGGAAAGACACCTTTGAGAAGCATGGCTTTAGACAAATTCTTTAGTCCACCACATGCAGTTGTATTTAAATGCAACTTGAGGCCTCTGATGCCTCCATTTTACACAAACGTGTCTCCATTTTTACACAAATGGGCCTCATTTTAAAACTGTAGGTTAAGTATCTATAAGGTCCTGGATCCCATCTCCAGTAATACACACCAAAACCACAATTAAAAAAAAAACCTCCCACCCCAAGATAAAGCAATTTCACTGGGGCTTAGTGTAAAGAAAAACAAAAATCCAGCAGTGAGACATTATCACTATAGCAACACAAACTAAATAGGAAAGTCAACCCCATCAACAGCTTCCAACGTCCAGGTTGTTTCCCAGCTCTGGGCTCACAGCAAGCTTTAAAGCACTGCTGCTTCAGAGTTTTGGGCTTGTTCTACTTCGGTACTAGGGATTAGACCCAGGGTCTCATGAATGCTAAAACATATGCTACCATGAGTGACATTTCCAGCCCTTATTCATTTATCTTTTGAGATAGGATCTTATTGTGCAGTCCAGACTGGCCTGGGACTCATGATTCACCTCCAAGTTCTGGGATTAGAGGCTGGCACCACCACATCCGTCTGGAGGCTTTGATGACTTTGCCTAATCTGCTTTGCTGGCAGCAGAAATGGAGTAAACTTTGTTCTCCTTACCTCAAAGGTTCCTTTGCAGAAATCTAAAGGGCTTTTATGAACAATGTAGACACAGTGACTGGCATGAAAACAGGTCTTAGATAGAATTAAGCAAAAACAGACCAAAAAAAGCAGAAATGTGGTTATGTTATGCTTTTTTTTTTTTTTTTTTTTTTTTTTGATAATAAAGGAAGAAATCCCAGGTACATTTGTCTTTGCTTAAAGAAACACCTCTCGGTGGGGCTGGAGAGATGACTCAGATTAAAAGGCACTGGCTGTACCTACCTGGTGGCTCAGAGCCATCTGTCACTCCAGTTACGGGGGCTCTGACACCACCTCTGGCTTTCATGAGCATTGCACATACATGGTGTACAAACATATGTGAGGCAAAAGCACCTATATAAAAATAAATACATCTCAAAAGGAACATAATTTATTCTGGGGTGCTGGGGATGTAGCTCGGAGGTAGAATGCTTGCCTAGCATGTGATTCCTAAAAGGAAGGGTGGACAGAAGGAAGGAAAAGAAAACAAACAAAAAGAAACAAAAAGCCCTCTAAAACGGAAAGATTCAAGTTTGTTCCTATTTCCTAGGCGTTGGGTGTAACTCAGGTAGAGGACACAGACAGCACAGGTAAGGCCCTGGGCTCAATCCCCAGCACCAAAACAAACAAACAAACAAACAAAAACCGAAGCTCTTGGCTGCTCTCTCATTCAGCATGAATGAATGAATGAATGAACGAACGAACAAACGAATGAACCAACAAACCGAAGCTCTTGGCTGCTTGCTCTCTTCTTCAGCTAATACAGGGCAGCTCTATGTTCCCCAGGACAGAACACCCTGCAGATAGATGCCTTCTTTCCCCAAGAGAAACACCCACAACAATGAAGCCAACATATAGTACCTTACACCATATAAAACAAGTTTAAAAGAATACCAAGTGCTTTTTAAGCTACAGACAGTATTTCTGTGTAACAAAGCTGTTAACATCATGAAGAACTTGTCAAGATGCCACGCTGGCTCCAATTACTGCAACCCAGCACCACTCTGCGGAACCAGGACTCAACCAACAAGCACTTCACTGAGTGCTTTGGATGGAAGTGCTAGGTTAATCACCAAGACTTAACAGGAATTCCTTACACACCCTCTAAGCTGCATGGTCCTTCTCCCCAGAGCTGCTGAGACCTGGGAGTTTATAAAGAAAGCAACTACAAACCTTCGTCTTGAAGACTGGCTGGAATTCTTTCAAAGCTGATAACAATTTAATTTGAACTGAGGCCTTTTCAGCTTCTTCACCATCTGCAAAAACATCAAAGAGGGCATCCAAAGCCTCTCCTGTTACCACGAGGGAAGGGTCTTTGGTGGCAACTTCCAGCAGAAAGCACCCAATGGTCTACAAAAACCAAACACAGGATAATGAAGGTCAGTCTCCAAGATAAGCACTGAGAAATGTGCCAACTGCTCCTGCATCTTACTTAATGGAAAAATACCAGGGAAGAATGACAACTTTCAAAGGTCTGAAGACGTCACACGCAGCTATGACTATCAACATAAGCTAAATATGCTATAGTTTATATTACCAAATAAAGTGAATTGAGGTCCATAAATGATATGAAAAATGTATTTTAGAAATTACTAAAGTTTTCCTTCTGCTTTCCTCAGAAGGCTTCTCATTTGTAACAACAATCACTACCACCCCTGATCCCAGCAATCAGGAGGCAGAGGCAGGCAGAGCTCTGTGAGTTCGAGGCCTACATAGTGAATTCCAGAACAACCAGAGCTACAGAGTGAAAACCTGTCTTGAAAAAAGAAAGGAACAAAACAAATCACAAGATTAAAACGAGTGACACTCTCACTTTACTTCACTCACTCGTTCTTTTTTTCTTTTTTCTTTTGGTTTTTCGAGACAGAATTTCTCTATGTAGTGTTGGTGCTTGTCCTGAATCTCACTCTGTAGACCAGGCTGGCCTCGAACTCACAGAGATCCGCCTGGCTCTGCCTCCCGAGTGAAGGGATTAAAGGTGAGTGCCACCACTGCCACCCAGCTTTTTGTCTTGTTTATGACACATGGTCTCATGTCACTTAGGCTAGCCTCAAACTCATCATTGCAGTGGGGGATGGCCTTAAACTTCCGATCCTCCTGCTTCTACCTCCCATGTGCTGGGAATACAGACATGTGCCACCAAGCCTGACTACTATATGCTCTTTCTTTCCCCTCCACAATTAGTTATCTTATGAGAAGAACATTCCCAGTCTGCAAAGACCTCTTCCAGAATAAGCTGATTATAGTCTGGCTGTTGTGTGTGGGATGATCTGTAACCTGTTATGGGGACAGGGGATAGAGGCTGTCAGAATATGGGGTCCAAAGTCCACCTGTACCATGCTAGTCAGTTAACCTGACTAACTCTGGGCTCTAATTTTCTCATTTTAATGTTAACAGTACAGATAACCTCTATGATAGTATTAGGTTTAATATCCTAGAATGTACTCTGAAGCATACACCACCATATAAGAAGTCTTATTAAAAAAGGATGGACCATGGGGGAGGGGAGGGACAGCTGGAGACAGGAAGTGGGGGAGTATGAACAAGAAACATTGTACACATGGACAAAATTTCCAAAGAATTAAAAGAAAAAAAAAAGATGCAATCACATCCAGGCTTGGGAGCAAACTCCTAGTCTACAGGAAATACAGTGGACGGGTAAGCAAGACAGGAAGCAACAGACACAGTCTATTTGGCTGCTGCAGGAGGTGTAGAGTTGGTGCTAAGGTAGTAACTGTTCTAGATCAAGAGAGATGAAGATCCCAAATGAAACATAACTTAGGGGCTTTATTTGCAAAAAAACAAACTATAAGAATTATCTTTCAGACAAGAGGAAATGATAAATATGGAACAGGTATTAGACTGTTAGCTGTAGAATGCACAATAATGGACTTCTTATGAAGTTACATAAAGAACTGCCCTTATTTGTAACAGATACATACTGAACCAACGGGGGCAAGTTCCATGATGCCTTTTATTTACTTTAACACACCCAAAGAAACTACATGACATACTACGTTAGAACAGGAATTTAAATCTGCTTATGGGTATAAAAAATCCATTATACTTTTTATTTTCATTCTTGGAAATTAGACTAGATAAAAAATACTTTCAGCCAGGCAGTGGTGGTGCACCCCTTTAATTCCAGCATCCAGGAGGCAAAGGCAGGCGGATCTCTCTGAGGTTGAGGCCAGTTTGATCTACAAAGCAAGTTCCAGGACAGCCAAGCCTACACAGAGAAACCTTGTCTCAAAACAAACAAACAAACAAAAACCAAACAAACAAACAATTTTCAAACTTGAGTTTCATTAAAATGGTCCTTGGCAATTTGAACTGTGAAGGAAAGGAAGTAATTACACATAAAAATGTTCATCTGTACAGAGAGATGCCACATAGCCAAATGCAATAATTTATAAATGTACTTATTAAAAATACCCAGAACAAGCCAGTGAGGCAGCTCATTGGATACAATACAGATAACAGTAAAGCAGGACCCAAAGATATACAATATCTGTACTCACTGAACCTGAGTTCAATATCTGGAACCCATGGAGGAAGGTCTGTACCAAGTCCTGAAAGTGGTCCCCTGACCTACATACACACACGCTATAGTATGTGTGCATCTGTTCTTATACATACAATAATAGCAAATAAAATCAAAACTGTAAAAGCTCCCGAAGCAGTGCAGAATGGAGCAGCAATGGGGTCTACACCTCAGAGACAAAGGAGCAGGAAGCCTTGGACGGAGCAAACAGTATCATTCATACTTCATCGTTCTGCTTTTCCACATGTTTTTGCTAAGTGCACGTACTATTCTCCAACTTTTTTTTTTTTTTTTTGTTTTTTTTGTTTTTTGTTTTTTCGAGACAGGGTCTCTCTGTGTAGCTTTGCGCCTTTCCTGGAACTCACTTGGTAGTCCAGGCTGGCCTTGAACTCACAGAGATCACAGGACAGCCAGGGCTACAAGAGAAATCCTGTCTCAAAAAACAAAACAAAAAAAAATCCACATTTGGCCTTATGCTGAAGACAAATTTATTTTTCAGAAAGCACATTTGGAGAAAGTTAAATAAGAACAAGGCTCACCTTTTCAAGCACTTTTTCCCCCCCCTCGAGACAGGGTTTCTCTGTGTAAAAGTCCTGGCTGTCCTGGAACTTGCTTGGTAGACCAGTCTGGCCTCGAACTCATGGAGATCCGCCTGCCTCTACCTCCCAAGTGCCTGGATTAAAGGCATGCACCACCACTGCTGAGTTCAAGTACTTATTTAATACACCATTTTATTAAAGCCATAGGGCACACTCTATGTTTCCTTATATAATACCTTATCATGAACTCCTCCCCTTTATACTTACTGAACAGTTTAGGTTAGAAACAACTGTTTACCTTAAGAGTTTCAAGTGTGCCATCTTCCTTGGCTAGGACGCTGCCAGTGATCCCCAAAATACTGACCACATTCACTCTTACCCCGATGCTGCTGCTATGAATGCCTGCTCTGCATAGTGTCATCAGCTGCTCAGGTGTCATACACTGTTGAGAGAAAAGAAATACTTCCAGGTATTTATTTACTTATCTCATGTGTATATGAGTGTTCACATGTGTGTGGGTGTTGTGTGACTATTTCCTCTGAGATTGAAACATTCCATTCAGAAGGGAAGCTCTTTAAACTGGAAGGCAAACACTCAAAATAGCTTTAGGAAGTACCTGAAACTGATCAAATGCACTAGGCCCCTCCCTGCCTGAGTTCTCGGATGGAAGGAAGCCAAGTTGCAAAGAAGACACTCAGGCAAGCTGAGCTGCAAAGACTCTCAGAGGAGAAAAGCTGCAAAGGAGACTCTTGAGCCTAGACCAGCTGCCTGGAAGAAGCAGGAACCAGCTGAGCTGCCCGGAAGAGGAGCTCACTTTGAAAGAACATTCTCCAGCCTGTTGAGTTGCAGGCAGTGCAGCTTGCTCCAGGTGCTGGGTGGGCTTTGGTGATAGAGCTGTCTCCTGCTCCTTTCAGTAACCCTCACCCATATTCCTGTAAGTGCCACCAATAAAACTCATTAGCTCACCAAGTTGGACTTTGTAGGTAACTGCGTTTTGGTCTGTGGTAAGATCCCTATTTGGGTGGAGTAGAAATGTGTGTTGCACCTCCCCAGAAAAAGTTTTGTCACACAACACTGGGCATATATGTGCAGGTGTTTGTGTAATTTGTGGAGGCCCACGGTTGATGTTGGGAGCCTTCCTTGATTACACTCTACCTTATTCATTGAGGCCACATCTCTCAATTGAACTACAGCTTGCCAATACAGCTAGTCTGACTAGTTTGCTCCAGGGATCCCATCTCCACCCTCAGAGCTCTAGACTTACATGCAGGCCACCCACCCACATAACATTTATATAGATTCCAGAGATCTTGTATGGCAAACACTTTAATCATTAAGTTTTCAAACTAGTCTTTCTAGGTTTTAAGGAGGAAAATTACAACTTGAGCATGGGACTTTTTTTTTTTTTTTTTTTTTAGCAAAAAGCAATCAGAGACTTAAGAGTTTGGGGGTAGAGGTAGAGGTCACAGGTAGAGCACAAGTACAGGGAGTGGGGGGAACTGAGGGCTCAGACATAGGGTCCACATCAGAGAAAAGGAACCAACCTGAAGAAATTCCTATTAATATGTATCAATTTTTGCATCAAAAATAATAACTAGCCAGGTGGTTGTGGCATATGCCTTTAATCCCAGCACTTAGGAGGTAAAGACAGGTGGATTTCTGGTCTACAAAGCGAGTTCCAGGACAGGCTCCAAAGCTACAGAGAAGTCCTGTCTCACCCCCCCCCCCCAAATAAAAGAATAACTAAGTTGGTGTGGCAGCCAAGACTACAGACCTACAAATAATCCCAGCACTAAGACTAGGACAGTAGGATCAGTAGTTTAAGGCCAGTCTAGGATACATAATGAAACTCTATCTCAAAATAAATAAATGTGTATAAAACTCTGAGCACACAATGAGACTAAAAAGAAAGCATGGGTGAAGCCCTAGGTTCAGTATCAGCGACAAACAAACAAAACAAGAAGCAGGAAGGAAAAAAGGAAGAAAGAAAGAGAGAAAACGATACAGATTGTATTTAGAGATTACCAGAGTATCGATTCCTTATGGGCGATAAAGGGTCAGGGGTACAAACTGTGCCAAAATTATTAAATGACCAATGAGACAATATCTTATTTGCAGAAGAATCCTAGCTAATAGTACCACACAAAGAAGACAAAGCTGGGTGTCTCCAATGTGCAGCCTCATGAAAGGATCTGGGCAGGTATGATCACCATTGGCTAAAACCTTTGAGTGAACACACTAAGACATGATCTGTGATTTTAAAGTATAAAATATATAAAGCAATACAAATTTTTCTTGCCAAAAATTTCTGAACCTGAATCTAATTAGATGTAGGTCTTAATATAGGTCTTAACATTGCTAAGGCAGTCTAGAGAAAATGAACGATACATAAAATAAGAATTATTTGCTATACTTTGGATCTAGAGTGATGATATTGGGATTTCGGCTTTTAAAAACACAGCTTACTGCCAGACATAAATAATAAGATCATTTATTGGTGAAATGATGTGATTTGCCTAAAAATACTCCTAGAAAGAGATTCAAAATGCAGGGCAAGCAAATGAAACAAGGAGGCAGGATGCTGCCCTGCTGGAGGCTTAGTGTAGGTGTGCATGGGCTTTCAGCAGCGTCTGGAATCCCCTTGATCAAAGGGAACAAGTATAAACAAGCAGAAGACAGCTGCCATGAGAGGACTCAGAAGACCCCAGCGTCTAGAGAAAACGTTTCATAAGGTATAAACATCAACTAAGAAGCATCCCAGGAAGGCAGCCGCATGGTGCTGCAGGCTTGGGAGGTAGAAGCACTTTTCTTCCTTTGGTTTCTTGAGACAGGGTTGTTCTGTGTAACAGTCCTGGCTGTCCTGGAACTCACTCTGTAGACCAGGCTGGCCTTGAACACAGAGATCCACCTGCCCCTGTCTCCCAAGTGCTGGGACTAAATGTGTGAACCACCACTTCAGGTTTTTTTTTTCTATTTCAAGCACTTCCCTTGCCTTTTCACAAAGCTTAACTATAACGGTTTGTTTTTTCTGGCAATGTGCTTGCAAAACACAGAATCTTTTCAAGTTTCACATAAGCAGTTTATAATATCTTACCTGTGGAATGTTCTTGGCAGCCATTGTTTGCAAAAGGGCCCTCAAAGCACTACTTATGGCTTCTAGAAAATCAGCATGTTTAGCAAAATCTAAAACACACAAAAATATTCCACAAAACACAAAGATGAAGTGCAAGTTTTCTCTTCTCCAAGACAAACTATTTTGTAGAAAAAGAAACAGGATTAAAACAAAGCATACAAGTGTTAGCTTACATTGTTATTAACAAAAGGAATTTTTCTCAGATTTATCTTATTTTAGGTGGGTGAGTGTTTTTGCCTTTCTGTATGTCTATGCACCCTGAGTGCAATGCATAGGGATGCCAGAAGAGGGCAGCAGACACACTAGAACTAGAGTTAGAGGGTAGGTGTCTCCCTGTGGGTTCTAGGAACTGAGCTGGGATCTTCTGCAAAAGTAACTGAGCCATCTCTCCAGCCCCCAACAAAAGCATTCTTGATATTTAAGCCAAATATTTGCCTAACTGTCTGCACAGTGTCCAGTGAGTCTGAAGGATGACTGCAGTAGGAACAGGCAGTGACCTGCAGAGGTCCTGACTTAAGATGTTGGGTTTTCACTAGACTAACACTTAGCCCAGGATACATCTGAGCCAATGGTTGTGGCTCTCATCTTCCAGAGGTCTCCACTGTGATGTGGGCAGACCTGTGGGGGAGTCATCTCCTACACCAGTGCTCTTGATGATACAAACTCATGGCTCAAAGTTTCCCGGTGTCTGTTCCATGACTCACCTTCCTCTTTTCCTACTGTACTTTCTTATGTATGACAAATAGAACAGCAGCAATAAACAACTGAGCTAGTACAGCCACAGGCAAGAACAAATGAGAGCCAGCCAGGTGAGTGATCCATTTGGTTCACTCGAATCATAATTTCTAAAAACGCACAGTAAGTAGGTCCAGTCCTGCACCATCTTCTGACACTTCCCTATTTACTTCCTATGTGCAGAGTCTGATTTCTTCTTCTTAAACATGGGTGTGACTTTTATCTTTTTTAACCACATCCATGACAGGCTAGGTCATAACTAGCAGTGTGATTTACAGCTGACTCACAAGTGTGTGTTTTTCCTGGTCTCCCAACCGAGGAACCCAGTCATTGTTGTGAAGAGGCACAGGTCACACATGAGTGTTCTGCTGGATGATTCCAGCCATAAGTGTTTAATGTAAGCGAATAAAAATCTCAAATGATTCTGGCTCACAGCCTTTAAGTTCTTCAGAAGAGACACTAGTCTAGGCAAGATTCCACCTCAGCAATAGTGACACTGCGCAGATAATTCTGTTATGTATGTGTACACAGGGAGCTCCTGTGCAGCTCCTGTGATATCTCCTAGCATCCTTGCTGCATACCAGGAGCAACCAACAAGACAGTAACCACTGAAAATATCTTCAGACATTGCCTCTAGTGGAGAATAATTGCCTAGACATCGTGGAATGGAGACAAGTCACCCTCACCATTCTGCCTATGTTCCAGGCACAGAGAGACTCTGAGAATAAGGATGAAGACAGGGTATCATGTGGTGCTCAGGCTGCTTTAGAACTCATGGGTTCAAGCAATCCTCCTGCCTCAGGCTCCTGAGAGGCAGAGACTGAAGCTATACCTAATCATATGCAGCTTATTGCTTCAGCCATAACGCTTGGGGCAGATTTGTTACAAAGCAGCAAATGCCATGTTTTGTTGCCCTGTGTGCCTGGGACATTGTCCCATTTCTGGTATCTCCTTATGTTGCCTGGGGAAAAGACAGGTAGCTTCTCACAATTTTCTTAGGACAGCAGGGTCTTCCTATAGTTCAGACTGGCCTCAAACTCTCAATTCTCCTGCCTCAGCCTCATAAGCACTGGGATTACAAAAGATGCAATCCATACCAGGTGCATAATTTCTAAATTTTTTTTATTTATTATTACTGTGTGCATGTAAGTGCAGGTGCACATGTGCTACAACACACCCGTGGAGGTCAAAGGACACACTCAGAAATCTTCCCACACTGGGATGCATCCAGGAATCTAACTCAGGTCCTCAGGTTTGCATATGGAGTGCTTTTTTTACATGTTGAGTGGTTCTACCAGCCCCCCAAAAATTATAACCAAGGCTTCTATCATTTGGGCTTTCCATTTTCAGATACTGTATGTACCAAAGAAGGGAATTCCTGTAATTATCGAAGGACAGACAATAGGCCAACTTTAGGATCAGACACACCTTGGACAAAATCCTGCAGGACATGTGATCTGTCTCAGTTCATTTTAATCCTAGTTCAAATGCTCTCTCTTCAGAGAGCCCCTTTACATTTAACACAGCACCTCACACCATTCTGTCCTTATTAAACATGAGAGAAAGAGCTCCATGGACCAGTAACCCCCATGCCTATCCATTTACTTCAGTATTCCTAGGACCTAGGTAGTATGTGACAGTCAGGTCAAGAAGCACATGCTAAATAATGGTCTTACTAGAGTTCCCCCCATTTCCTAATGCCTGGTGTTCAATAGACACTCCAAAATTGACTCGAAGGTGTTCCTATTAGTCTTTAAAAGTTTCCACATTGTATAATTCACTTTTTATCTTGATTAAAGAAAACATTTAAGCTGGGTGTAATAGCATATACCTTTAATCCCAGCACTCAGGAGGCAGAGGCAGGTAGATCTCTCAGTTTGAGGCCAGTCTGGTCTACATAGTGAGTTCCAGGGTAACCAAGGCTATACAGAAAGATATTGTCTCATTGGGTGGTGGTGGTGCATGCCTTTAATACCAGCATTCGGGAGGCAGAACCAGGTGGATCTCTGTGAGTTTGAGGCCAGTCTGGTCTACAGACACACACACAAACACAAACAAAAAAAACCCTCAACAGCACAATAACGGTACTTGCATCTTGGGATAACCAATAGCTGTCTAATTGGACACAAAGCCTGATCAATTGGAGGGTGTTATGCCTATTACTGTAAACCCAGCCAAGAACCCATAGCTGGAGAGGACATAGGCCCTAGAGGTGAACCTACTCCTACCATATTACTAAAGTAATAGTTTCCACCTGCCTTCTAAATGCTTATCCTTATATGCATAAGTAAGTGCTGATCTCACATCTCATTAAAGCTTCTTTTTGCAGCAGGCAGAAACTAATAGAGATCTACAACTGGTCAAAAATGCAGAGAATAAATAACCATGGGGTGCTCAGCCACCAATGGGATATCTATAACCCAACTCCCACACCTAAAGCTCAGGTAACATTACAGGGGGAAGGAAAGACTGCTGCAGGATAGTTTCTTCTAAAGAGGATAGGGACGTTGCTCCTATGAACTCTCAGCAAAATACTGCCAGCACAAGACCTACAAATACCAAACCAGTTGGTGTGCCAACAAGAATGAAGGAAAACTGCACAAGGCCCTACGGTTAGCTGAGAAGCTATGGCTAATGGCTGCTGACAGAGGGAGAAACAGTTCTCTTTTGTTTTGTTTGATTGTTTTTGCAGGAATAAGAGCACAATCCTCCCTGGTCAGCCCTGAGTACATGTAGGTGGTTCAGCACTGACTGGACCAGTGCATTGTGTGTCTACGTTCTTGTGTGTGTTTGTAGTAGGAATAAACATAGAAGGGGTCATGAATTTAAGAGAGGGCAGTAGGGGGAAGACAGGGGGAATTGGGGGTAGAAACAATTGCAGATATAGTATACTCATGTATGAAATCCTCAAATTGAAAAAAAAAAGAGCTCTCTGCTCTGCTCTCTCCCCCAACCCCATTATCTTTCCCTGTGCTCTCTGAATGTGCTCCCCCACCTCCTTCCCCCTAATAAAACTCTGAAACTTAAAAAAAAAGAATACTTACTCAAATATCCTAATGAAGACCTGATACTTATGACTCATTTAAATTGGCTTGACATTAATTTAATTATTTATTCTGTTTTTCTGAGACAGCTTTGTGTGTGTGTGTGTGTGTGTGTGTGTGTGTGTGTGTGTGTGTGTGTATGTGTGTGTGTGTGTGTGTGTGTGTGTGTGTAGTCCTGGTTGTCCTGAAACTCACTCTATAGACCAGGCTGGCCTGGAACTCAAGAGATCCTCTGTTTCTGCCTTCCAAATGCTGGGGTTAAAGGTGTGGGTCACCACTGCTCAGATTGACATTAATTTTAAAATACACACACACACACACACACACACACACACACACCCCTACTGGCACCACTTGACTGTCACTGGCAATGATAATACATGGCTGCAATTGTCTGGGAAAGGTTTCTGCAGGTTAACTATGATAACACTCTATTTACAGAGTTCAAGTTCCGATCCTTCAAAGTTCTGCTATGTACAAGTAGTCTTTCACAGTAATGTCTAAATATTTACCTGGCTGAGAAAAAAGAAGTTGTGACAGGTGTTGTGCAAGTGTCTGAAGAGCTGGGGCTCCTCCAAGATGGTCCAGGTCCAGGAGAGACACAAGACTCTGAAGACACATAAGGGCTCTACACTGAATAGTGTTCAATCTGCAAAGAGAGCGAACAGTGTGTTTCTGTAAAGCTAATATACTGGAATTCTATGGGTCTAGCAATTTTTACTATCGTTGTTGATTATGGCATAGCATCTGCTTTGTTCCCCAGGCTACCCTGGAGCTCACTATGAAGTCTATTGGCTTTGAATTTGTGATCCTCTTGAATACTGGGATTAGAGTTATGCGCTTCCATGTCTGGCTCAGTGCTAATTTTTAATCTAAGCTTCAGATTCTAATTAAGAGTACCTACAAATTCATGGGGATCTGGGGCAGGTCACCAAGAATAATGTGAACAGATAATCTGCCAATCAAAGTGCCTGAGCACTCAAGGGCTATGAGCACAACTCACTGAGAATTGTCAGTCTCTATTCAGCCTTGGACAGCAAACTCCTTGCTTTCATGTTTTCATTTTTATTTACAGTTTGCTATCCCAGGGACTGGTCCCATGGTACCACTCATGCTAGACAAGCACTCTACCCTGAACTCAGCCACTTTTGACTTTTAAAAAACCTGAGGACAGGCTCTCAACAGGCTTCCCAGGCAGAGCTTGAACTTGTCATCCTCCCACTGCAGCCTCAGGTAGTTGAGGTTACAGACCCGCACCCCAGGTCTGCTTTCTTCCTTGCTTTTTCAGAGCAGAGTCATTTGGTGTATGTCCCTAGTGTTGCCTAGATGTGTGCTCTGTGGAAAGGGAACAACATGCACACATTCTGTGTCTTACTCGCTCTGCTCAACGCAGTAAGTTCTGCTGTGTTGTGAGTGGTCCCAGTTCAGATCCTCTTGACTGCTGAATGTCAACTTCTTACACATATGACCATGACAGACATCAAGGCTGTTTCCAAGTTGGGGCAACTATGACCCACACTGCTGTGAATATTCATTCTCACACCGGTATCCCAGCACACAGGGGCACAAACTTCTCCAGTGTACAAACCAAGGCTGTCTTAGGAGCATTTTCTATTCAATATTCCAACATTTCACATAATGATAAAATGATAAATATTTCTGAAAATTGAAAGTAGGTTCTTACTTCCTAATCAAAGGTTTCCAAGTAGGGTTCCTAGAACATATGTCAATGGCAACACTGTTTGGTGAAGCAGTTTTCTCAAAAACCTAGGTTGGAAAGGGAAACAGAAAAAGATAAAAGGGAGATCATCTTAAAGAGGACTTCTCTATGAAGTCCGACTTATTGTTTACAAGTTAGCGTGGTCAGAACATGTGTGCATTTCTAGCTCTGTCAGTTCTGCTTCACACCCATGCTCCTGTTCTCCAGGTCAACAGCTCGAATTAGCCATTCCCACACCCCAACTGAGGCCAGGCTGAAGCTAGATTACCTTCTTTGGGATGAGGCAGTTGGTGAGGGCAGTGTGAATCTCATGGGACAGGCACAATGGGGACAGCAGCTGCCCACTGCACTCATTGAAGGAGTTTTCCATAAAGGCTTCACTTTCATCACTACTAGAAAGCTCTTCCCACTCATCATCTGAGGGATCTGAGGAGAGGGCAAAGCAGACATAACTGGGTATCAAAAACTCCATGGAAGCTGCCCTTGGTGTGGGGGTGGGAATGGGGTGGGGACAAACCTTCACTGCAGCACATGTTGACAATAACTTCCAGAGCCGTCTGCTGAGCAGTCAGCAATGCCATCGTCTCTCGAAGCTCCTTGTCAGTAGGCTAAAAAATGAAAATAAAATCAAGTATCTGTTTTGTATCAGTTTCCTTAATGGAAGTCTACTGGATCATTTCTGCACTTGGAATAGAGTATATGGGGGCTGAAGTAGGTTGAAAAAAGCTGCAGGGGGACAAGTGAGCACTGTGATTTCCTCTTGACCCAATAGAGCAAGTCTTTGTTAACTGGGTTCCATCTATCACAGGCTGCATAAGAGAGAACAAAAACATTCACCTTGAATCTTGACCTATGTGTTAAGAAGTAGCTCAGCTTAGGAGGCAGAGGCAGGCAGATCTCTGAGTTCGAGGTCAGCCTGGTCTACAAAGTGAGTTCCAGGACAGCCAGGACTACACAGAGAAACCCTGTCTCAAAAAAAGAAGCTCAGCATACTAAGATTAAATAAAAGCTCCGTTCAGAAACCAGGTGCTTAAACAACATATTTTAGCCATCTTCTTGGACAGATTACATTCAACACACACTACCAGCCAGGTATGATGACACACACCTAAAATTCCAGCACTCAGGTGGCAGTCAGGAAAATTATCTCAGTTTGAGGCCAACCCTGGCTACATATTTACATCCTGTCTCAAAAACAAATGAACATACCCACAAATACTATTAACAAGCCTTAAATTAACAGTGCTTGATAAAGTAGCAGACAGCCTTAATTCCTGGTTTTCTATGAAACAATAAAATGTAAAGTAACTCTTTAAGATTGAAGAAAAAAAAAAAGCCAGACAGTGGTGGTGAATACTTTTAATCCCAGCACTCAGAAGGCAACAGCAGGCAGATCTCTGTGAGTTCCAGGCCAGCCTGATCTACAAAGCAAGTTCCAGGACAGCCAGGCTGTTACACAGACAAACCTTGTCTTGGAAATCCAAAAAAAAAAAGGCTGGGCATGGTGGCGCACACCTTTAATCCCAGCCCTTGGGAGGCAGGAGCAGGTGGATCTCTATGAATTCCAGGTCAGTCTGCTTTACATAGTAAGTTCCTGGACAACCAGAGCTATGTAGAGACCCAGTCTCAAAAAAAAAAGGCTGCTGATATGGCTCAGTGGTCAAGAGTATTTCCTGTTCCTGCAGAGGACCCAAGTTTGGATCTCAGCACACATTAGGTAGCTCACAACTGTCTTTAACTCAAGCTCCAAGGGAATCTGATGCTCTTTTCTGACCTCCATGGGCACCCCCATCCATTTGCACATAAACACACACAAAACTTAAGAAAATAAAAAAGGGACGGGCGGTGGTGCCTCACGCCTTTAATCTCAGCACTCGGGAGGCAGAGGCAGGTGGATCTCAGTAAGTTCAAGGCCAGCCTGGTCTACAAAGTGAGTTTCAGGACAGCCAGGACTGTTACACAGAGAAACCCATCTCAAAAAAAGACCAAAAAAAGAAAGAAAACAGAAAAAAAATGAAGACTTTTTTTTCTCCAAAAACATAAATTTTATCAGTTAATATTTCTTAAAATGAACAATATAAACTTACTATAAACCTTAATTCTTAAATTGCCTGTAAAAAGTCAATCAGCCACACTGATATCCTATTGTGAGTGGAATAACCTTGAAAATAACATGTACTTTAGTGTTTACAAATTCAAACTGTCTTTTTTAATGACTAAACAAAATTTCACTAAGTGGATCTACTATAATTGCATGATGTGAGTATTTTGGATTATAGCCAATTTCCCATACCTCTAGTCTTTGTATTCATGGCATTAATGAATTTCCATCTCTTTTCTTCCTTGCTAAAAACTCTTGCTATATTGTAGGTCGGGGGAGGAAGAGCTCAAATTCCGGGACTCAACCTTCCTGTCTCAGCCTAAGACCAAAAATACCTGGGGAAAACTGCATCTGTACTTGTCAGTATTCTACAAGTAATAGAAATATATATATTAATTAGTATTACATTACATTAATTACATTTTACTAAGAGGGCTGGAGATGTAACTCAGTGGAAAAGTGTTTGCAAAGAATGTGCAAAGCCCTGGGTCTGATCCTTAGCACTAAATGCAATTAAGTAAGCTAGCAAAACAAAATCTCTTCTTATCCTACACTGTATTACATATTGTTAAGAATTCAAAGATGGCCAAGCATACGGCTCAGTTGGTAGAATGCTTGCCTATTATGCACAAAGCCTTGGGTATGATCTCCAACACTATACAACCTGGGCATGGTGACACATGCCTATAATCATAACACTTGGAAAGTGAAGACAGGATTAGAAATCACAGGTCATCCTCTGGCTACACAGAAAATTTGAGACTGGCCTGGGATATATGAGGCCCTATATTAAAACAAAACAAAATCAACAAGCAAAAACCTAATCCAAAGATGAATGAAAGCTGTGGGAGGATGTGTATAAGTGGATGTAAATAACATGCCATTTCATATGAAGAACTTAACAGCTGATGATTTGGAACCTGGCGTGGGGGGGAGCCTGAGTTAGAGCCAATTCTCTGTGGATATGTATAAATTCACTTTGGATATATACATATATGTATCTTATTTCCTCATACTTACTGGGTCCAAAGTTAAAAATACATCTATATGTCTTATGATGCATTACCATTTTCCTTTCCAGAATGTTTGTGCTCATTTAAAATGCAACTAACGAGCCAGGCATGGTGGCACACACCTTTAATCCCAGCACTAAGGAAGCAGAGGCAGATGGATCTCTGTGAGCTTGAGGCCAGCCTGGTTTACATAGCAAGTTCCAGGTCAGTCAGAGCTACACAGTGACACTGTCTCAAAAAAATAAAATAAAATCCCACCAACAAATGCTTTGTCTAAAAACTTAACTATAACTTTGGCCTATATTATCTAACAAAAATGAAGGATGGCTGATAGAATACATGCTTTGTGTGTTTGTGTGTGTGTGTGTCTGAGAGTGAGAGTGAGAGAGAGAGAGAGAGAGAGAGAGAGGTTCAGTCCCTAGCACCCTCCCCTCACAAAAAATCAAAAACGGGCTGGAGAGATGGCTCTGTGGTTAAGAGCACTGGCTACTCTTCCAGAGGACCCAGGTTCAATTCCTAGCACCCACATGGCAGCTTACAACTGTTTATAACTCCAGTTCCAGAGGATCCAACACCCTCACAGATAAATGTGCACATAAAATAACGTATATTTTTAAAAAAATCAAAAACAGACTGCTAATCTAAAAGCAATCCCTGAATTTATATTCCAAATTTCTTCTACTCACACTGTGTATAAAAACCATTTCTATTCAGGTCTCTGTGTGTGATGTTCAGCTAAGCTAAGAATAGACTGTCACTAAATAGATTTGCTTTGGATTCTCTTACTTAAAATGTATACAGATCCATGTTAGAAGAAACTCTGAGATTAGCTTCCCTTTTATGTAATTGCTACTGAGAGCATTCTTTTACTTCTTTTTTTTCAAGACAGGGTTTCTCTGAGTAGCTTTGGAGCCTGTCCTAGAACTCGCTCTGTAGACCAGGCTGGCCTCGAACTCACAGAGATCCGCCTGCCTCTGCCTCCTGAGTGCTGGGATTAAAGGCGTGTGCCACCACTGCCCGGCTCCTCTATTTCTTACTGTTATCAAACTGACATAAAGAATACCTTATGGCATCTAGGATTTGTGTCAAAGTAACCAGGAACAGAAGGGGCAACTGAAGAGGTACAAATGAAATAAAACACAGACTGGATAAATTATAAGCCTGGGAGCTAAGGAGGGACTATTTCTGCGTGTATTAAAAATTGCTCTTTTCGCCGGGCGGTGGTGGCGCACGCCTTTAATCCCAGCACTTGGGAGGCAGAGCCAGGCGGATCTCTGTGAGTTCGAGGCCAGCCTGGGCTATCAAGTGAGTTCCAGGAAAGGCGCAAAGCTACACAGAGAAACCCTGTCTCGAAAAACCAAAAAAAAAAAAAAAAAAAAAAAAAAAATTGCTCTTTTCACGGCATGGTAGTGGCACATGCCTTTAATCCCAGCATTTGGGAGGCAGAGGCAGGAGGATCTCAGTGAGTTCGAGGTCAGCCTAGTCTACAAAGTGAGTTCCAGGATGGCTAGGGCTGTTACATAGAGAAACCCTGTCTCAAAAAAAAACAAAAACAAAACCAGAAAAAAGAAATTGTTCTTCTCTTTACATATTTGTGTTATGCCTTCTTAAGTTTAATGATGCAATTGAAGGTTTTAAATGGACAGGACTCCAGCCGAACCTACAGGCAGTTTGAAGGATCTCAGCTTACTGTGAGTTGGTACTCCTAGACTGTTTGAGTCTGACACCTAGAACTCTTGGCACCTAAATGCTGGCTGGCTAACTTACTTGCATGCTAATTATCTAAGGTAATGAGTTAAGGCTTTAAAAGCAATTTTTGTTTTGAGAAAACAATGTACTTTATGAGCTCAGACTTTTATTTCTCTCTTTCACTGTGCCGGTATTAAACCTGGGACTTAAACATAGTTAGCATGCATTCTACCACTGACACTATCCTCAGCCCCTCTGTGTGTATGTCATATGTAAATAGTGAAGGCACATGAGTGTACAAGTACACACACACAGGGGGAAGCAGGCTTCCTCTATCATGCCCTACCTCACTGCTTTGAGACAGGGTGTAGGAGCAGAGAAAGCCCTGAGTGAGTGAATGTGTAATTTTGACATAGGCAAAGGACCTCAGACCCACGGAGAAATGGCAAAGTCTTTCCTTCTGACCCATGTGTGGATGCTGACTGTGCGTGCAGAGCATGTCCACCATAGCTTTCTGTCCTTGGATGTTTATGGCCTGAAGACTGCTAAGCTACAGAGACTGATCCTACCAAAATTAAACTTGTCTCCTTGTTTATCTGTATGTAATAACTCCACCTCCTTATTCAGCTGTATGTACTAATAATATGTATATATGTAATAACTCCTTCTCTGTACAACTCTATATAATAAACAAAATGAGATTTGAGGGTCCTGAAGTTTCTTCAGCTGAGAGTCCAGACTACTGGATCCCAACTTGTCATTCCCTCACCATTCCAATCAGGTCTGTTCCTGGAGCCATGCTGGATGCACATGGCTCAACAGGTCTCTCACTGAATCACAAGCCTACTGTTTTGGCTAGACTTGCTGGCTATTGAGCTCTGAGGATCCATCTGCTACACCCCTAAGACTGGAATTACAAGAACACGTAGCCATGCTTGCTTTCTACATAAGTTCTGGGTGTTTGAGCTCAGGTCTTCATGCTAACAGAGCAAGCACTCTCACCCCTGAGTAATCTCCCCGTCCACAGTCCCTCTATTTTTAAAATAATACTTAAGGAAATACATCTGGCTAACATGAATGTTCAGATTTGTAATCCCAGGAGGGCAGTACGTTAAACTGAATCACCAATTATTTTTTAAGCTGTGATGTTTCTACCTTGATCTTGGCAGAAGGAGGGTTTCTCCTCCCCTTACTTTGTTCAGAGCCTCCTGGAAGCCAAACTGCAGACAAAAGGAGTCACACTTGAATGAAACCAACTCCCAGTAAGAATTTCAGATCCGTCAGGGTTCTCTGACAAGCTAACAGCAATTTCCATTTCTGAAGCTAAGTGTCATGGAAATCCAACATTCCAGAGGAGAAGACTTAAGAGTCTTAAGTCAGCCACAGGCAGACTGTCTCAAAACAACATCAACCTCTGATGGGCAGACAGAGTAGAAAAGCAGTCCGCCTGAATCCATCAGGACAGCAGAGAATACTACAGCGCCAGCTAAAAGCACAATGCATCGCACTCCCACTCTCCACACACAAGCACATTCCAGGTCTATCCTTCAACCAACCCGTGACATTACAAGAAACACTACTAGGTTCCTCAGACATGCCTCTCTCTGGACAAGGTGCACGGCTGTGCCTCCCTCCATTGCTGCTGGTTTTCAATAATGCTGACTCAAAGTGAGACAAGGATTAAATCTGAGGCTCCAATACACGGCTGTGTTCAAAGAGGAGGTGCTATGATTTTTAGGACATCTTCTGGTCTATAAACAACTTGAGGATAAAATGGCCTTCTCACTTAACACAATGCTTTGGTTGTTCATATGTAACTGTTCTACATATAAAAAGCTTGATTTCTTTAAAGCACTAAGATTAAATTATGTAGGTGAGAGAGATGGTTCAGTGGTTAAAGACTCCTGCTGCCAAGCCTCATTATCTGAGTTCAAACCCAGGTACCACACGGTAGAAAAAAAGAAGTGATTCCTACAAGTTGTCCTCTACCTTCACACACGTTCTATGGCATGCATGTGCCTGCTCCCTCCCAATAAAACATAATAATTAAAAAAAAAAACCCATAAAACTATGCTTCATAAGTCTTCAAGAATGTAAGAGTTGGGCACTTGTAATCCCACCTACTAAGGCAGCTAAAACAAAATAAAATAAACAAGCAAACAATCTATAAGAAAATACTTTGAGCTATATTCAATTTAAAGAATTCTAAATATAAACTAATCAGAACTGTAAGATGTTGACTCAAGACAATTAATTTCAAATCATTTCATATGAATCAAGACAAGCCAGCCCTGGCACTGTCCCATGAGAGGATGTGAACTGCATTCTCCTAGCCGAGGCTTGTCAACTTTCCTTAGCAGCCTCCTGCTCTTCCTGCCAGCTGCGTGCTCTCTCTAGACATTACCACAGCTTCACAATTCTCTTCCTTCACCATTTCACACAGCCCAGTCGGCCTGTGTCATCACCAACAGCTTTCTCCTTCGCTCTCCCAGCTGGGATTAGTCACGTGTACCAAGTTTACAGAAATGTCAGGAATTTGATCACAATTCTACCACTGTTCTTAGCACAGGGCTCACAACCACAGGCTTATGTGTCTGTCTTCCTAAAAACAGGGATCCCCGAGTGCAGAAAACATGACTGAAGAATCTCATCTGTGGCTCGTACAGCATGGAATACACATGAGCAGACCCCATCTGGGTCTTCCTTGCCTTCCTGTATTCTGACCTCCTGGAGGAAAACATTCTTCCAAAGCATGGGTCCATCTACACTTTCTCAGCTGAAATACTCACAACTGTGCACCCTCACCAACACACACCAGCATAAAGACACCACACATTTCCCAGCCTCTTCCGCTCAGTCTGATGGCAGAGGAGGAAAAAAGGTTCGGCCTATTGCTCTGCTAAAGATAAATACTAAAATAAAAGATAAGAATTCAAGGGACAAACTGAGCAGAATAGGATCAGTGTGAAAACAGCCTGGGAGGCAATGGGTAACTGGAATGGATAGCGTCAGGAAGGTAGGCTGGTATTTGAAATGAAAGCTCCCACACAGAAAGATTTCACTTTAGACATTTTTTTGTTTGTTTCATCTACAAGGGTATATTTCTAATGTCATAATAAGAATCAACAGGAAAATATGACTTTTACTATAAAATAGGCTATAGTATTTTTCTATAATGCTAAGGACACCTGTTAAAAAAATAGATGTATTAATTCATGTTGAACACCATTCTGACTTACTGGAAGTAAATCGGAAATAAACGTTTTCCTTCTGAGTTTTCTTTTATGGGGAACTTCCTCCATTTCATCATCTTCAACCAAACCATCACCATTAGCATTTGCTAGTATGTCCTCAGTCTCGGCAGCTGTTTTTAACCGCTGGGTTTCAGCCTCCTTCATCTGAATGACTGTGTCAGCAGCGTTCACCTCCAGAACTTCAGACAAGATCTTCAGTATGGCATTTATGATTTCTGCCTGACTCTTAGATGGAATAATGTCCTTTAGGTTCCATATTGTGCCTGGGAAAAAATAATAAAGACAAATAATGAAGACAAAGAAATTGCCTGTGGAATCTTTATTAAAAATGGGTTCTAACACTGACAAGGTAATACTAAGACTGATTTTGGTATAATAAAGGGAAATATTAAATACTAAAAATAAATGAAATATAACTAAATGGAACAAAAAAAGAGTTTTCACAGGGCTGAGTCTTAAGGCTTTGGTGTAATTTCAAAATATCCAACCTAATTGCCTTTGTTCATCCTACCTTGGCACACACATCTTTCTCTGGTATAGAACATTGCATACCAAGAGATACTGATCAAGTTTTTTTTAAAATGACAGAAGGCAAGCCAGTTTCCTCCATTTTCACCTAAGCTACTCTTCTCTGCAGCTTCTTAAATCCCAGGTGTACTGGGATGTTACTAACCCTCCAAAATCTCATGTAAAAGACAGACTGCAAGTTCTTGGCATTTTCCTATCAAAATAAAATACTGCTTCCAGGAAGAAATCAAAATAATTTTTTAAAGTGAATGGCAGCTTAGTTGGTAGAATGCTTGCCCAGCATGCACAAAACCCTAGGTTCAAACCCTAGGACTGCAATACCAGGGCTGGTACTGTACACCAGCAATCCTAGCATTCGGGAGGTGAAGGCAGGAGGATCACAAGTTCCAGGTCAATTTCAGCTACAATGCAAGTTGTAGCCATAAGAGGACCTTATCTCCAAAAAAGTGATGATAAAATAAAAATACCACCTAGGCATAACTAAAAATACTGAAAGCGAGGCGAGACAAAACTAGTCATGGTCACTGTGGCATGGTTAACAATAGCTAAATGGTGAAAACCACACAGGTGCCCATCTGAGAATGAGAAGACAAATAGAGAGTGACTTCCAGAACAGCCACAGCTATGGAGAGACCCTGCCTCAAAAAACCAAAACCAAACAACAACAAAAACACCCAAGAGTCACACACACACACACACACACACACACACACACACACACACACACACACACACACCCTGGAATACTATTTCAGCATGAAAAAGAAGAAAATGAGCTGGAATATAGCTCAGTCAGTAGAGTGCTTGCTTAGCATGCACACAGCCCTGGGTTTGATCTCCAACACTGCATAAATTGGATGTGGTGGTGCACACCTATACTCCTAGCACTCAAGGTATAGGAAGTCTGCAGTCATCATACTATACGGTAAGTTTGAGGCCCACCTGGGCTACATCAGACCTTGTCTCAAAAATTAAAAAGAAATAGTACTGATGTATTTCACTATGTAGACAACCTTGGGGACCTTAGGTTATGTCCCCCCCCCCCAATAAAGGGACAAATACAAATGATTCTATTTGTGTAAGGTTAATTTTTTCAATAGTCATATCCACAGCAGAACGGTGTTGACCAGAGATGGGAAAGGGAGCAGAGTCAGGAAAAGTTCTCATTTAGTGGATAAAATTTCATTTTGCAGGATGAAGAGATCTGGAAATTCGGCTGTGCAACATGCTTTGTATTATACCATGTGGGACACGGAAGCTCACACAACCCTACACACACACACACACACACACACACACACACACACACACACACACGTGTAAAAAGAAAAGATAAGCAGGGCAGTGGTGGTGCACACCTTTAATCCTATCACTCTGGAGGCAGAGGCAAGCAGACCTCTGAAGTTTGAGGCCAGCCTGGTCTCAGACTGAGTTCCAGGATAGCAAGGGCTACAGAGAAATCCTGTCTTGAAAAACAAAACAAAAACAAACAAACAAAAACCTGAAAAGAAAAAGACAATAATTTTTTAGAAATGGAAACATCTATTCTAGAAGGCTTCATAACTATGGAAAACTATGTCAGGTAAAGTCCTGCTCTAATACTAAGATCTTCAGACCAGACAGATCACAAAGCTAGAGTGGTAAAATGAAGGAAGGCTGAATCTTGGCCCCCACTGCTATCCATACAAGTTACTGTATCATTTGGCTAAACCTTACCTGCCACCAGTGTCTTTAGGAGAATGTACTCCATAGAGGTGACAGGACAAAGCAAAGCAGACTCCAGCACACGCAGTGCTGTGCCATCAAAAGACTTCAGGAGCTCTGGGTTATCTTCGGTGACTGTCTGTAAGCAGTATGCTATAAGACAAAAATCAACAATTTTAGGATAATTTACACCAGTATCACTCATACGAAAATGTGCATTTTTTACAATTTCTAGACACATCTACTTCTTTAGATATATAGGCTTTACTTCAAGGATGGTACATACAAAAGAGGCTTCACAACCATCAGGGCTAAACTTCTAATTCTTTACAGAACTACACTCTCATAGACTAACTTAAAAGGCTCTTAAATGTTGTAGCAATGCTGATTTACTATAAATATCTATAGTTTATCCTAAGTTTATACACTTATCATAGGAAGCTTATGACCAAGTTTCTAGTCCAGGCACCACATGCTTAATGGTAGTTCTGTTGCCAAGAACAAACCTGAGGTCTTAGGCACTGTGGTCACAATGACCCTATACGTTACAGTTATTTAAGAAAAAGAGTAGATGAGTGTAGTGGTGTGTGACTTTAATATCAGTATTCTTTAATCCCAGCATTCAGAAGGATATCTATGAGTTCAAGGCCAGCCTGGTCTACAAAGTGAGTTCCAGGACAGCAAAGACTAAACATAGAAACCCTGTCTTGAAAAACTAAAACAAATGCCGGGCGGTAGTGGCACACGCCTTTAATCCCAGCACTCCGGAGGCAGAGCCAGGCGGATCTCTGTGAGTTCGAGGCCAGTCTGGGCTACCAAGTGAGTTCCAGGAAAGGCGCAAAGCTACACAGAGAAACCCTGTCTCGAAAAACCAAAAAAAAAAAAAAAAAGAAAAAAGAAAAACTAAAACAAAAAATGTACTTATTGCTCTTGCAAAGGACCTGGATTCGGTTCTCTGTACCCATGTGAAGGCTCACAACCATTTGTAACTCCAGTTTCAGGGGATCCAACTCTCTCTTCTGACCTCCAAGAGCACCAGGAAAGCACATGGTACACATACACTCATACACACAAACTAGTAAAAAATAAAACACAGGGTACTGCTGGGATCTAATTTGGATCCCAGAATGCATCTATGTGCAGAGATATGTATGTACACATCAACACACATACTTACATCTAAATGTATTGTGTTATTAAGGGACTAACGCTAGTCACTTTAGCAAAAGACAAGACAAAAGTGCTGGGATAAAAGCTCAATGACAGAGTGCTTGCTTAGCATGAACAAAGCTCTGGGCTGGATTGCCAGCACGGTACAGCAAAACAACCACCTCAACATCTAAACAACAAAAAGGAAAGATAAGCTATCAATGCTATCATAAACATAACTTCAAAAAATTATTCTGTACAGGACAGAACTCTATGAATTCATTTTATTATATGTGTTACTTTACTTGTAAAACTTTTGTTTATAAAATCATCAATCTAGTTAAATACAGCAAGGAAACACTTCAAAATGACTTATGATGTGAAAAGGTACATTAGAGTAAAAAGAACTGGGGCCAGTGAGGGCTTCCCTAGAAAGGCTGACAACCTGAGCTCTATCTTTGGAGCCTACAGTGAAGGAGAGAACGGATTTTTTTTTAAATTTATTTAATTTTATTTTATGTGCATCAGTGTGAGGGTGTCAAATCCCCTGGAACTGGAGTTACAGACAGTTGTGAGCTGCCATGTAGGTTCTGGGAAATTGAACCCAGGTCCTCTGGAAGAACAGCCAGTGTTCTTAACCACCATCGTCCAGCCCCTTCTTTTTCCTTTTTAAGACAGGGTCTCACTATGTGGCTCTGGCTGTCCTGGACCTTGCAATGCAGATCTGCCTGCCTCTGCCTCCCAGGTGCTGGGATTAAAGGTATGCACCACCACCGCCCACCACATTTTTTTATTTTAGATTTTTTTAAAACATGTATTTTGTTTGTTTGTTTGTTTGTTTGTTTTTTCAAGACAGGGTTTCTCTGTGTAGCTTTGCGCCTTTCCTGGGACTCACTTGGTAGCCCAGGCTGGCCTCGAACTCACAGAGATCCGCCTGGCTCTGCCTCCCGAGTGCTGGGATTAAAGGCGTGCGCCACCACCGCCCGGCCTAAAACATGTATTTTTATTTGTGTATCTGTCTGTGGGTATGTGCATATGAGTGCAGGTGCCTGCAGAAGCCCATAAGAGGGTACTAATTCCCCTAGAGCTGGAATTAAAGGCAGTTGTGAGCAGCAGGATGTGGGTGCTGGGAACTAAACTTAGGTTCTGCAAGTGCAGTACATACTCTTAACCCTTAAATCATCTCTCCAGTCTCACCCCTATATTTTCTTCTAAAAAATCTATGAACTAACCTGCCTGAAATTCTCTTATTACAATAAAAACTGGTTTAAGATAAAGACACTTGTTAATTTCTAAAACAATGAGCTGTTTCTAAAATCCCCACTTACAACACTACCCCTTACATTTGACAAATTGATCTTTTAAATTTTTCCACTACTTATTCCACTATTATTTCATTACTATTCCACTATTTTATTTTTGTTTCCCTTTTTTGGTCTCCTAAAAGTATCTTGAGAGCCAGGCATGGTAGTATACACCTTTAATCCTAGCACTGAAGAGGCAGGTGAATTTAAGGCCAGCCTGGTCTACAGAGCAAGTTGCAGGCCAGTCAGGGCTAAAAAAGAACAGATGCTGAGCTGTCGAGAGCACCTGCGCTCTTACAGAAGACGCAGGTTCAGTTCCCAGCACCCACATCTGACAGTTCACAACTGCCTATAACTCCAGCCTCTGATGGCCTCTTAGGCACTCCAACACACACAGCTTATACACACACACACACACACACACACACACACACACACACACACACACACACTAAATAAATAAATAAATAAATAAATAAATTTTAAAAAACAGAGTAACTTTAATAAGAAAAAAGTATCAGCCAGGTGGTAGTGGTGCACGCCTTTAATCCCAGCACTCAGGAGGCAGAGGCAAGCAGATCTCTGTGAGTTCAAGGCAGCCTGGTCTACAAAGTGAGTTCTAGGACAGTCAGGGCTACACAGAGAAATTCTGTCTTGAAAAACCAAAAGAAAGAAAGAAAAGAAAAAAAGTATCTACTGAACCCAAGAGAAGCAGTGCTAAAAGGAATATAGTTCTTCCCTTTCTAGAAATATGCAAAATTAACAAAGGGGAGCTGGGCAGAGAAGAAGTCCTTTCAAGTGTTTCTCTGCCTGCACCCAGAATTCTGCCTAGCTGCCTACTCTCTGGGTTCTGCTTCCTCCTGCTGCTGAACTGAGGGTTCTCAATGGCTCTCTGGCCCAACACAGAGGAGGTAGGAAGCTAAAGGCAAGTGTGGATTCCATGTCCTCAGCTCCCATGAAAGGGGCACTGGCCTAACTGAAAGTTCGATCACTTCTTTTACAACTCCCCTGACTGCTCCCCCCCAAAAAAACCTCAGTATTCTTTGTAAGTCAGAGAAAGTAGTATAAAACATTTAAGCAAGGGTAGATTCCAACTAACTATGGCACAAAGGCCTGATTATTATTTCTGTTTCTTAGTAAATAGAGATGAAAACTTCAAGAATAAAGGCTTTTCTATTTGTTTGGTTTTTTGAGAGGGTTTCTCTGTGTAGTCCTGGCTGTCCTGGAACTCACTCTGTAGATCAGGCTGGCCTTGAACTCAGAGATCCCTATGCAGGTGTGTGTGGTCACCTGGCTAAGAATAAAGGCTTCTAAGAAGTAACACACTACATATACTCACATAATTGCCTTCCTCCCTTTCAGAGAAAAACAATGCAGAATCGACCAGGGCATGGTGGCACACAACTTTGAACCCAGCACCCAGGAGTCAGATATCTGAGCACTAGAGGTTAGCCTGGTCTATACTCCAAGTTCCAGACCAGTCAGAGCTACATAGTGAGGCCCTGTCTCAAAAACAAAACAAAAAACCCACAACAACAACAAAAACAACCAAACCCTGTAGAATTGTTAAGTTTAAGCCACAGATTTAAAGAAATTCCATACGAACAGAACTCCCTTCTACACTTAGGTATAGTAACAGTAGCTCAGGAATCACTGCTGCAGAGCAGACATGCTGTCCTGAACAAGGCAACCCACGAATAACAGATGAGCACTGTCTTCACTTACCTACGGAGACAGCCAGGTCAACACTGGTGGGGAACCTACGCAAGTACTTTAACACAATCTCCAAACACCCTTCTTTGTTGAATATAGACACTGCTCTACTACTGCATTCACTAAATCGAAGGGGAAAAATAAGTTTTACTATTCATATCTTAACATTAAGAAATCAACCACAGAAGTCTATGAAAAAAATAATTATGCTTTATAAAAATCAATGATCAGGAGTCAAACACTTATAAAGAAAAAATGGCCATTCTTATTCATTGTACACAACAACCATCCACCAGTGTTTCATTTCCATCAGAGTGGGATCTTTCTGTTGATCCCTCTTTAGAGAAGCTTAGAGCTGAAGGAAGCCTCAGAATCATCTCATCCAACTTCCCACTTTATAGATTTAAGAAAACCCAAGACCCACAGGTGAGGCAATCCGTCTGAAATTCTGCATCCTGTCTGTGGTAGTACCTGGCCCAGGGCCTCAGCTCCTTGTGCAAACTGTTGTTTCTCCACAATCACTCAATAATAATGAGTTCAAGTAAGGACAAAAGCCTCTATCACATAAAAAGCAACATTTTTAATTGAAAAAACATATTTTACTCACTCCTAGACTGACATTATAATTTCATCAAGCAGAGTTTTCAATCTGTAGAGAAATTACTCTAAGTAATTAGTTTTGAAATCATAGAACTTTTTAAAAGAAAAAGTTATCAATACCACTTATAAGCATACACACTAAAATCAGGGTAAAAGGGATGAATAATTTTACTCATTTCCAGAAAATAATCTCAATGTAAGCATATACACATAACATTCTAACAGAGCTAACAGGTGACTACATTATTAAACATGCTATCCAAGAAAATTTTTTTCTGTTAGCTATCTAGCTATTTCAGTACTGAACTACAGCCAAGAAGGCAAAGCATGTATCAATGAAGAAATGTAAACTGGGAAACAAAAGTCTAGGAACAAAGGGACCAGGAATTCAAGGTCATTCTTAGATACATAGCAAGTCCCAGGCTAACCTGGACTACTCCTATCTCAAAAAATAAAAATAAAAAGAGTGGAAAAATGACTCAGAGGTTCAGAGTGCTGTTTTTGTAGAGACCTGAGTTCAATTCCAAGCACCATTATCTGGAGGCTCATAACCACCTCTAACTCCAGATCTCTGGCCTGGGAGGGTACCAGCACTCATATGCATATACCCACACATATATACATAACTAAAAATAGTAAGTTTTTGGGTTTTGTTTTTTTTTTTTTAATTCCAGTTTAGTGAGATAAACTACAGTGGTGTAACATGTATTTTGTGCTTAGCAGCCCAGGGTTCCAAACAACAAAATTATGTTATATAAAGTAAAAGGTTGATGGTGCACGGAAAAGCACTCATTAGTTGATCATATACCATTTCTTTTAGCCAGTCTGTAATCCCAAGCAGTCAGAAGACCAAGGTAAGGGGATCATGAGCTCAAAACCAGCCAACATTACATAGTGAGACCCTTTAAAAAAAAGGGGGGGGCAGAAAGAAGGGAGGGAGAAAGGGAGAGAAGGAAGAAAGGAAAGAACAAAAAAAAGAAAAACTAAAAAGAAAAGGGGAAAAGCCATTTTCCCAAATCTTTTTCTGGTGGAATGGAATGTACCTACTAGTTTAAGATGAAATTTCAGGCAGACTCAGACTGGTATGTAGGCAGCTTTTCAAGGTCTAACTCAATCTTATATTCTAAAAAACACTGCTTTTAGGTCAGTATTTTAATTGCTCCCCACTGAAAATAAGGAACTATAATTCTGCTATAATTATAGACATAAAATAAAAAACATAGGTTCCAGGCTTTCTTTCCAGCTATTGTCATTCCCAGCCGAGGTCCACTCTATTCTAACCAGTGCCAGCAACATGGAAAACAGCGGCCTTGTTCCTACTCAGTTCTAGAGTTCCTTTTGGGAATTTACTTCCTATCCAAACAGTCACTATCAGAGCAGTAGACAAAAACCATCAGGCAATGTCTGTGGTCCTTTTTCATTCCAGATAACAAAGCAGGTGCACACTGGGCTGACCAGGAGGATGAATCTCATGTCACCAGATCTTACCTACCACCTAGTAAGTATCAGCCCCACAGTTACAAGAGGTTCCTACATGGTAACAGAAAGAACAGCTGTGATGCTCAGCAGTGATGCAGGCAGAGGCTGCTCCTGGAAGGCACCTTACCATATATTCCACAGCACGTTCACAGCCTCATTGGCTATGCTCTCAACAGAATTTCTGTTCTTATCGGCTTTCTCCGGTGGAGACATTTCATTTGAATCCAGTCCAGCGCTACACTGCAACCAAATGACATGATTAGCACACTGGTTCAAAAGATTAATTAAGCAAAAAAGCTAATAATAGTAAAGAATTAAAAAGCAAAAATACCTGAAATTATAGTGGTTAACAAACATATCATATGGTCATAAGTACATATCTCAAAATGATGCATGCCTTGGGGGTGGTTCAGTTAAGAGTACTCTCTGACCTGGTGGTAGTGGTGCACACTCGGGAGGCAAAGGCAGGTGGATCTCTGAGTTCAAGGCCAGCCTGGTCTACAAAGTGAATTAATTCCAGGACAGGGTGGACTACACAGAGAAACCCTGTCTCGAAAAACCAAAAAAAAAAAAGAAAAAAAAGAGTATCCTGTTTGTCCAGAGGAAGAGTGTGTACTGTCCTTTCAGAAGACCTGGACTCAGTTTCCAGTATCCACACGAGTCGGCACACAACTACATGTAACCCCAGTTCTAAGGGATCTGGCACTTTCTTCTGGCTTCTGAAGGCACCCACACACACATGACATTCATTCACGCACAGACATATACACACAAACAAAAATAAAATAAAAACTTAAAAAAAAATCCCTTTGGCAAGAAACTTAGACAAGAAAGGTCCTTAAGGTTTGATATGTGTAGAGTCCAACACTTTATATGAAAGTACAAAATCAATACAAAGTATTTTTCCTAATATGATAAAAGAGAAATATCAAAGAAATACAAGAGTTAGTATCTGTACAGCGCCCACCTAAGTACCGTTTTGAGCATTTTTCTTATATTAAGTTATTAATCCTCACAACAAACTTATGAGGCAGGTAACTATCAGCTTTTATGCCTCAATATAAGTAGGAAAATAAGATACAACGAAGCTAGTGAAGATACAGCTGAATACGTGGTGAAGCTGGCCTTCGGTTGCAGACACTCCAGCCTCAGAGCTGATGCCCTTAACCTCTGTGCAGACCTGCCTCAAGTATAGTACACAGCACTCTCTAAAACACTCTCTTTGAGTCTTGGACTTCTCATGGGAGGCTACCCTCTGCATGGAAGGAGGTTCTATAGCATCCCTGACCTCGACTCACTGGATGCCAGCAGCTTAGTGCCAAATGTTCCCACGGGGCAAAATCACCTCCGGTATAGAATCACTACTCTAAAGGGAACAGGACTGATGCCTCACATCAAAACTGGGTCTTTTATGCAGCACCAAGTGAAAACTGGCTCTATGTAGAAAAGTGGAAGAAAGGCATGACAGACTAAGAAGAGCTGTAAGAGCCCATCATCCTTCGACAATGAGCTACATCATATAATATGAACAATGTGATATTAAACATGAGGGTGCAACATAATCTTTTTGTTTTGTTTTTTCGAGACAGGGTTTCTCTGTGTAGTTTTGGTGCCTGTCCTGGATCTCGCTCTGTAGACCAGGCTGGCCTTGAACTCACAGAGAGCTATCTGGCTCTACCTCCCGAGTGCTGGGATTAAAAGCATGCGCCACTGTTGCCCAGCTAACATAATCTTTAGAAGTTCATAATGTCTGTGCCTTGGGCCTATCATCATATAAACAGGTATAATAATACCTGTCTTGGGCCTATCATCATATAAACAGGTATAATAATACCTGCCTTGGACTTGGGATACAGTTGAATAGTAAAGCACCTGACTTTAGGTGGCACAAAGATCTGAGTTCCATCTCCAGCACCACAAAAAAGGAAGGGGGAACAAACTTGGTCTCATAGGACTACTGTGAAGACTAAATTAAATACATACATGACAGAGCGATAAAGAAATTTGAATTCTAATCATCATAAAGGCAGCAGGACACAATAATAGAGATTGGTATTAGTGATGCCTGTGTACTATCAGTTTCCAGGAAAAGAAATGAAATTGCCACAGGATGTTTAAAGGGACAAATGACATCAAAGTACTGGGGGGAAATCCACCTAAACTGTCTCCACTTAGAAGTCATCATTCGAGCTATGTTGAATACCACATACCTCTCTCAGCAGCGCCACCAAGGGTGTCATGATATCCTTAGCCACCATGTCATCACAAACTTCAAAACCTCCGCAAGCACTGAGATTTCTACACAAGAAATTTAAATACGTTTTACTTTCAAGTCACACATCACAAAATACTACTAAGCTCCCAAATGTATTACATGATTACCTACAGTTAAGGTTTCAGAGAAAAAATGTATTTGTCATATGCTGGTGAACTGTCCTGCTCCTTATCGAAACAAGTAACTTTGCCATTGTCTTGGTCACTGTTCTATGGCTTTGAAAAGACTTAACTAAGACAACTCTTTAAAAGGAAAGCATTTAATTGGGGCTGGTTTACAGTTTCAGAGGCTTAGTCCATTATCATCATGGTGGGAAGCATGTTGGCATGCATGGTGCTGGAGCAGTAGCTAAGAGCTACATCCTGATCCATGGACAGAGACTTGGCCTGGTGTAGGCTTTTTGAAACCTTGAAGCCCATCCACAGTGATCAGTGATACATCTCATCTAGGAAAGCCACACCTATACTCCAAAAAGAAGATAATTATATATATATTTGTTTGTTTGTTTTTGTTTGTCAAGACAAGAATTCTCTGTCTAGCCTTGGCTACCCTAGAACTTGCTCTGTAGACCAGGCTGACCTCAAACTCAGAGATCCACCTGCCTCTACCTCCACAGTTCTGGGATTAATGTTGAGCACAACCACTGCCTGGCTGGCCATACCTCTTAATCCTTTTCAATTAGTGCTGCTCCCTGGTGACTAAGCATTTAAATATATGAGCCTATGAGAGCCATTCTTATTCAAACCACCATACCCTCACTAACAAAATGCTCTGCAATTACTATTGGCTGTATTTATACATAAATGGATTGTTTGGTTAATAATAATCAATAGATTTTTTTTTTCCCTCTGAGACAGGGCTTTCCTATATAGCCCTGACTATCCTGGAACTCGCTCTGCAGACCAGGCTGGCTTTGAACCCAAGAGATCAGCCTGCCTTTGCCTCCCAAGTGCTGGGGATGTCTTTCTGTATGCTGTGAATGTGTTGCTCTGATTGACTGATAATAAAATGCTGATTGGCCAGTAGCCGGGCAGGAAGTATAGTATAGGCGGGATAAGCAGAGAGGAGAATTCTGGAAGGTAGAAGGCTAAGTAAAGAGACACTGCCAGCCGCCACCATGAGGAGCAAGATGTAAAGTACCGGTAAGCCACGAGCCATGTGGCAACTTATAGATTAATAGAAATGGGTTAATTTAAGATATAAGAACTAGATAGCAAGAAGCCTGCCACAGCCATACAGTTTATAAGTAATCTAAGTCTCTGTGTGTTTACTTAGGTCTGAGTGGCTGCGGCCGAGTGGGACTGGAGAAAACTCCAGCTACACCCAAGTGATGGGATTAAAGGCATGCACAACCACACCAGGCAATAATCAATAGATTATTAACAGAAATCTTCTTCAATAGACAAGATTTATTAAGGACAGAAATTATGTCTGTATTCCTCAATACACCATTCCCCAAGCCTAGTCCAATGACTGGTACACAGGCACTCCATCCATACTTAACTGAAACATAGTGCACACAGGCAAATCTACCAGAGTACAAATGTTAAGATCCTGCCCCCTCTACAGCTCATTCTCTGCAGTCCTCAGAGGGGCTTTATTAAAAGGTCGACTTCACCACTCTGGTTTAGAACAAATCCTTCAACTCAGCAGCCTCAGCAACTTGAATCCCCACCTCCTCTCCTCAGCCACATTAACTTCTGTGCAGTGTCAATCTGCCCTCTGCCTCACTTCTCTGGCATAGCTGTTCCTCCCATAACCAATGCTCTCACCCTATTTTCCCATGCCTGGTTCTCTGCTCTTCTGGTCCCCATTTACAAATGCCAACTAGAGGACACCCCAGTTCACCTCCCCCTCTCTTTTACACAGCACTTCTCATGAACACTGTTTTGACTTTTTGCTAGTTTCCAGACACCCTCTCAATGAGCTCCTGCAAAGACAAGGATCTTGGCTGTCCTGCTTAACATTCTGCATGCCGCAATATCGGTATACTTAGAGCACAGACTGGAAGACTTCATCCAACCAGGGACCCTATGGCGGGTTTTGGAGGGGGAAAATGTGCATCAGGTTTGAGGACAGGTGAAGCAGCCAGGCGGATACAAACAATGTGTGTGGTCTGTGGGTCCTGGAGTCCCTCGGAACCTGGACTCACATCTCTATCCGCTGCAATCCTGAGATCACAGGCAGGTTTTCCTCCCTCCAGAAGTGGAGAACGCATCGGGAGAGGGTGTGCTGGGTTTGTTTGCTCGCAGGGACACCGCCTCGGGCCCTCTCCGACTCACCTCAGAGCTCCGGCGGCCGTCTCCCTGACCGCCAGACTGGAGTCCAGCAGCAGCGGCCCGAGCCGGCGCACGGCATCGCGGCGCGCCAGGTCCGGCAGCGCCGGCCGCTGCTGCACTAGCCGGGCCAGCCCCGCGCAGGCGCACTCGCGGACCTCGGCGCTCGGGTGCTGGAGCTGCGGGAACCAAGACGTCAGAGGCAGAGGTGGGCAGTGAGCACGCGCGCCCTGCACCGCTCCCGCGGGCGCCCTGCCGCAAGCCGCCCGAGCCCTCGTCCCACCTTTTCCAGAAGCTCCGCCGCCGGCCCGTCGTCCTCCTCGTCTTCGGTCCCGTTCGCCGCGGCCGCCGCCTCGGCCTGACAGCTACCGGTAGGGGAGAACTGAGGTCGCTTGAAGCGCTTCGTCCGACTCTTACCCATGGCGACTGAGGCTGCCGTGAGAGACCGGGAGAGGAAGACAGCAACAGGCGATGGGGGCCGCCGGGCCCGTGAAGGTTTCTAGTCTCCGACGCTACTTGGCGTCTCTCTTCAGCCGGGTCGGGCTGACGGCCTGAACACACATGGAAAAGCTGCGCGCTTGCGCACGGCGCGTCGGCAGCGAGGAGGGGGCGGAGGCAGGGAGTGCGCGTGCGTGTAAAGCAGTGTGGGCGGGGCCATCTCTGACAGCGGGTGGAGCCCTGGGCTTCCCTGGGAATGTTAACACATTAGAAGCGCTAGGCTTCTAATTCAACTGTTCAAAAGAAAAGTTCTGTCTCAGCGTAACCTATCTATAAGGAGTAGACTGTCTACCAAGCCAGATAACATTCCTTCCTATGCTATGATTAGGAAATGATCACGTAAGTGACGCTCCCGGATGGAAGTTCAAGCCTCTCAACCTTAAAGGTGCAAAGAACCCATGGAGCACCAAATAGATATTTTATTTTCTTGATCTCTTATCTGGACACAAACTTCCTGCCATACCCATAGTCCAAAATAGTCTTCACTTGTCTTGATCATATGGTCTTTCCACGTCCACTCTGTGATCTTTCCCAAAGAGCTTTCCATGGTTCTTATTATGATATCCACTGTCCTTTTCAAAACCTTTCAGTGGCTTCTCTTCCTCAGAGGATACTTCTCAACATCTCAGCTAGGCTGCCTCATCTCACTTCACTCCTGTGTCCTGGTCTTTAAATTTGCTCTTTAGGTCGTAGCGTTTTGTGTAAGCCTCTTTCCCCAACCCCATGAATTAGTGGACACAGGAGCCCCCCCACCTTTTTTTGGTTTGAGAAAGGGTTTCTCTGTTGCCCTGGCTGTCCTGGAACTCACTCTGTAGACCAGGCTGGCCTAGAACTCACAGAAGTCCACCTGCCTCTGCCTCCTGAGTTCAGGAATTAAAGGCATGCACCCCCTACATCCGGCTAAGAGGCACTTTTATTTTTATTTTATTTATTTATTTTTATTTTATTTTATTTTTCTGATACAGGGTCTCTCTGTGTGGCTTAGGAGCCTGTCCTGGAACTCGCTCTATAGACCAGGCTGACTTCGAACTCACAGAGATCCGCCTGCCTCTGCCTCCTGAGTGCTGGGATTAAAGGCATGTACCACCACCACTGCCCGACCAAGAGGCACTTCTTTTTTTTTTCCTTTTTTTCTTTTTTCTTTTTTTGGTTTTTCAAGACAGGGTTTCTCTGTGTAGCTTTGTGCCTTTCCTGGAACTTGCTTTGGAGACTAGGCTGGCCTCGAACTCACAGAGATCTGCCTGGCTCTGCCTCCCGAGTGCTAGGATTAAAGGCATGCGCCACCACCGCCCGGCCAAGAGGCACTTCTTCATGGGTAACTTTCTGACTTCAGTCAGAGACAGGTCTCTCTCGAGACACACCCTGTTTTTTTACTTCAAAGCACAATGAAGAATTGTCCCTTTCTGTTTCTATATGTAGTTGCTGTTTTCCCAGCTGAAAAATCACATCTTGTGAGGACAAGATACCCATTCCCACACATCACTGTATTCCCAACACTAACTTGGCACAAAATTGTCATTCACTTCCTTAAATGAACAAAGAGACATAATCAAGGAAGATCAGGACATGTAATCAAGATGGATCAAAATTAGAATTTAGATGAGGTATAAACGTATTTCTATTATTTCTTTGTGGGCATGTGCAAGGGGAAATATAATTCAAAATCATAACTATGGGGAAGCTGAATAACTGGCTTGGTGCCAGGCAAGATTAAATAGCAAGACCTTGTCTCAAAGACCAGAACAAGGGAGGAGGGCACAGAAGCACATATTTTTAATCTCAGCACTCGAGGGGCAAAGGTATGTGGATCTCTGTGAGTTCGAGACCAGCTGGGGACATGTAGTGAGTGAGTTTCAGACCAACAGACTACATAGTGAATGTCCATCCACTAATAATAATAATAATAATAATAATAATAATAATAATAATAATAAAGTAATAAGCTTTATTTGCCGTTCTTAGGAGCCACTCCCCAGCCACCCTTAGTTGCCAGTTTTAGAATGAGCCTAGTGACTTTTAACCAGCCTGTTTTATTGTGCTAGGGATTGAGCTTCTTTTCTTGAGACAAGCTTGACATAAAGATGTTTGTCTGGCTGGGTGATGGTGTTGCACGTCTTTAATCCCAGCACTTAGGAGGCAGAGGCAAGTGGATTTCTGAGTTCGAGGTCAGCCTGGTCTACAGCGCTAGTTTCAGGACAGCGAGAGCTACACAGAGAAACCCTGTTGCAAAAAAAAAAAAAAAAAAAAAAAGAGAGAGAGAGAGAGAGAGAAAACAAAAAAAATTGTCATAAACTATTGATCTAACAAAATTTTTTTGTCTGTTCTCTCGAGACAGGGTTTCTCTGTATAGCCCTGGTTGTTTTAGAACTCACTCTATAGACCAGCTGGCCTTGAACTCAGAGATCTATCCACCTGCCTCTGCCTGGTGAGTGCTGGAATTAGAGGCATGCACCACCAGCATCCTGCTTAACAACACATTTCTAAAAATATGTGTGATGTGTGTGGGCACACATGCCTCCTTGTTTATGTGGAGATCAGAGGACTACTTTGTAGAATTGGTTCTTTCCATCAACCTTTATATTTATTAAACTTTTGTTGTTGTTTTCTTATGGGTAGGGATGTATTCTGGAGAGATAGGAGATATCTAAAAAATGGCCAATTTATGGGGCCTGATCTATTGTCCTCACTCTCCCTACTGTCCCAGCAGACACATTACCATGGGCCCTCCATATATTTTGTGTGCTGGTACTTTTCTGAATCATCCAAAACTGTCAGCAAATGTGTGCACATGGGGCTGGGGATGAGCACTGGTGTTAGAGTGATTGCCTAGCAAGTGCAAGGCCCTGGGTTCCAGCACCAGTTTCCAAAAAGTCTATACAGAAAAGGTATATCAGCATGCTGACCCTACTAGGCAGGGAGCTCCCTGCAGGGAAGATGCATTGGTAGCCTGTATTAGCAGTGCAGCAATCTGCTGAAGTCTCTAGAGATCTGCTCTCCCTACCTGCTATTGCCCTCTGGCTCATGTTGCCCTACATTACATGATTAGGTAATTATCAAATAACTTCAATGCCAGTAGTCAGCTAGGCAGTCCTCTGGTTCCAGATTCGCCACTAAGATTGTATGATCAAGGAGAGGTTTCTCTGTTTACAAAGACAGAGTTTTTGAAATTTCAAAGGAGTGAGAGCCATTTTTATTATTTCAAGAGATAATTACTTTCAAAGGGAAAGTTGAATATTGAATGCCTTCCAAGTGAAGTCTGGGATTAGCCAGACTTTATTCTCAGACTTTGCTCAGGCAGGTGTGGTGATTATATAAATGCTGACGGCTCTGAAATACTTGCTGTCCAACAGTCTGCTGTCCATTCAATTCCATGTCACTCATTCATGAGCAAATCTTCCTGCTCACATAAAAGTGCTTGTTTGCTATGTTAGGCACTGCCCAGGGAGCTAGACATAACAGCTATACCCTGGTCCTGATAGGGGGTTTCCAGAGCACGGTAGCTCTAGCTGCCTTTAACAAAGGTACTGTTGCCAGTGGTGGTGCACACCTTTAATCATAGCACTCAGGAGACAGAGGAAGGCAGATCTCTGTGAGTTCCAGGCCAACCTGGTACAGAGCTAGTTCCAGAGCAGCCAAGGCTACACAGAGAAACCGTCTTGAAAAAGAAGACAAGGGAGAAGGAGAGGGGAGAAAATAATAATTATCCTGGCCCAGGGAGTAGTGCCACAGTCTTCAATCTTAGCACTCAGGAGGCAGAGGCAGGTGGATCTCTGTGAGTTCGAGGCCAGCCTGGTCTACAGAGTGAGCTCCAGGACAGCCAGGGCTGCATAGTGGGGCCCTGTCTTGAAAATCTGGGAGGGGTTAATTATCCTGAGGCTGGAGAGACGGTTCGGCACTCTTGCAGAGGACAGATTCAATCCCCACCAACTAGATGGTGGCTGACAACCACATGTGACGCATGTAACCCAGGGGACCTGACGTCCTCTTTGGTTTCTGTGGGCGCCAGACACGCTGGACCTGAAGCCCTTTTCTTACTTGCACAGGTACCAGGCATGAAGTGGTGCACAGACACACATGAAAGCAGAACACTCACCCACACACGTAAAACAAAAAAAGTAAAATTTCTAATTTGGAATTAGCTTGTTATCTCATGCATAGAATATGTTTACATTTTTTCCAGGTGCAGACACAATAAACCAAAGAAAAACTCTAACCCCTAATTATATATAAAGTATTTATTTTTATGCACATATTTACCTACAAAATTTACAGAAAATGAAACAATGCAGAACATATAGAATACCCTCTTAGAGTTCTCAGAAGCAGAGGGTTTATTGCTGCGATTCAAAGAATACAATTTTATACACAGGAAAGTCAAGATGAATACATGTTAGTTAAATGGCAGCTTTACTAAATGTTTTTGTCCTATTATTCAAATTTACTTTCATATTAGATGAAATTTAAAATATTGCTCATGAAATAATTTAACCTTTTCAAAATCTTCTAATAAACAGGTAAAAGGCACCTCTAGTACTTGAAGTACTTACAGCAGTCCCAACAGTTTCCTTTCGAGGGCTACTGTACTCCACGTGGCTGTTGCACATACACAGTATGTCATCAACACTCTCCAGCAGTGAGAACTGCAGGGTCTGGTTTGCCGTGTGGTTCCTGTGTTATTGGCGATGGACTGAGCCCATCAGCTACACAGGACAGCACTAGTCTAACACATCTACCACAGCATAAAATCCAGTCACCTAAAATAAGGACTGTCAAATTCCCAGACAATACATAATTTAACTTGTACATTCAGAAGACTTTGGGGGTGTTTTTTAAAATTCTTTTTAAAAAAGTAATTTAGTGTTAAATGAAAACAATTTACTGGAAAATATAACAATAGTTGCCAGAATCCAGTATTGGGCTTAACAAAAATTGTGGAAACATGTATAAATTTTCAACATAATGGAAATGAGCGTTCCTCAGTCTGAGTGGAGTCTGGTGCTTTTCCTGCAGCACAGTGGGAAGAGGCGCTGGGAATGAAGGCACACGTAGTAGCCAGTGTGAAGGAGCTGTGGAGATGCCAAGCAGATGGTTCCGGAAATACTGGTGCAGGAGAACAA